GAAGGACGCAGGGCGACATAAGCATTTTTCGACTGAGAGATTGTCCGCCGAGAATCCCACTGCGGCCCCGACGAGCTACCGTTCACGCCACGAGGAGTTTTCGGTGAGACGAACGCACCATTGTAAAGCCGCCGATTTATACTTGTGTCAGACGGGACGCGAGGAACTCGCGTTCAGACTTATCGTTCTCGTTTGTAATTCGGCTATCGCCGAGAAAGATTCCGTATATCCCGGCGCCCCGTCTGACTTCGCGTATCAAGAGATCTTGTTACAGGACCGTCGCGCTACGCGCCCGCCGAGCGCCACAGCCAAGCCATTCCATGTAATTGTGTCGTTCCCGTCCTTGTGCGCGTGTGAAAATTCGCGTTTTCGAGAGGGCCTTGTGCCCCAGTTACGGGATTTAAAGAGAGTTTCCGGGATCACGGGATCCCGCGGGACATATTAGTTCCCGAGTTCCGATTTCGTGTGTCGATCACGCTGCCCGTGTACGCCGAGCGCTCCGCGCCGGCGTACCCGCGAATATCACGCCCGCACTGCATGCTTCATGATTTTGCATGTCACGCGGATGGGCCGGTAATCAGCGAGTCGTACCGCCGAAAGAGAAACCGCTCTTAAATTTCCGTTTCCGAGACACGATCTTGTCGTACGATCGTGAAAGCGCGAATTGCGAGTCTGTTACGCCGAGTACGCTGCATTGTTGCGCGTCTCAAGTATTCCCGTCGATTATCGTATTCTCGTTTGTAATCTTTGAATGTAATACTCGTTCGCTCAATACACTTGTTATTTTCTTATTGTTACTAATTACTGTCGCTTCTTTCAGCCTATTCTCGCTCCCCCGAACCTTGACCATTTTCCTTCGAATCACCCCCTTTACCATTATCGTAACTGAGCGACCGGTTATCGCCGTCCTTGTCCGACCGTTGCATCGAATTCGCACCTGATCGCGTGGTTAATGTTCTCTTGAGTCATTCGATTTCAGAACAGCGAAATATTTCAGTAGAGAGGCACTCTCTATAACGTGCCTGGCGCCCAACTTTATTCCCGTTTTCGATAGGCGAGATGCCTGAGTTACAGTTAATCGCGCATTAGATTCCCGTTTACCGTTTTCGCGGAATTACGCGGGTCGGACGAGCGACGAAGTTGCACCACGCTCGTGAGTGCGGTCGCAAATTTGGCGCCCAACGTGGGGCCCTGAGATAAATTCATTATAAGTTCTTGTGAGAAGAGGAATGTCAAGTCGATGGTAGAAAAACAGATTTTACAAATACTGCCACTGTTTCTTCACATGACCAATCTTCTGACTGTTACTGCGTTTCCACTCACTGATGAAGATCTCAAAGTACAATTTATCATGTGATGAAACAGTGGTAGTACTTGTAAAATCTGTTTTTCTACCCTCG